ACCTGATAAATTAAAAGGATTTATGTTAAAATAACAGAGCAATTACATATATTTTTACATCTATGCAAATGCATATGCAATATTTGTAACTTAAATAAGTAATAATAAAATAAAGAGACAGTTATTTAACAATATGTTAAGGAGTAGTAACATTTGTACAGTCTTACAGTTACAACTGGCCCTTTGATGGCAGCCATAATGTTGAAGTGGCCCTCAGTGAAAATGAGTTTGACACCCCTGACATAAGGCAACACACACCAGACAATTTGTTTTTTTATTATTCAGATACTTTGTTGGATGTTTTGGTCGGAGGGACAGCGGTCCTAGTCAAACGCGCACTCAGAAAAGAGGGAAACACACCGGCGCGCTGGTTAAATTCTGCGAACGCGGCTTCCGAACTGTGCTCCCTAGTATCCATCTAGCGAATCTCCGTTCCCTTCCTAACAAAACGGATGAACTTCTCCTCACTCGCACAATGTTCAAACACGCAATCAGACACAGAAGAGGGACACGCACCGGCACACTGGTTGAGCTCCGTGAGCGTGGCTTTCTAACTGTGCTCCCAAGCATTCATCTTGCGAATATCCATTCCCTTCCTAACAGAACGGATTAACTACTTCTCATCCGCATCAACAAGGACTTTTCAAAATCTGCTGCATTGTGCTTCACTGAAACCTGGCTGAGTGAAGCCATTCCAGAAAACGTGCTTCATATGCCGGGCTACCAGCTGTTCGGATCGCATCGCATCGCATCGCGGACTTAACAGGGAAAACGAGAGGTGGTGGACTATGTTTTTACACAAATTAAGGTACTGCCCACCCCAATCTGTCAGTGGATCACCAGCTTCCTGGCAGACAGGCAGCAGCTAGTGAGGCTGGGCAAACTCACATCCAGGACTCTCACAATCATCACTGGCACCCCTCAGGGATCTGTTCTCTCCCCACTGCTCTTCTCCCCCTGCACCAACGACTGCACCTCTACTGACCCCTCTGTCAAACTCCTGAAGTTTCATCAAGGACGGCGACGAGTCTGCTTACAGACAGGAGGTTGAGCAGCTGGCTGTCTGGCGGATCGCATCGCGGAATTAACAGGGAAAACAAAAGGCGGTGGACTATGTTTCTACATAAATGAAGGTTGGTGTTCAGATGTAACAGCTCTGAAGAAGATGTGCTCTCCTAATTTAGAGGCGCTCTTCATAAACTGTAAACCGTTTTATTCTCCCCGGGAGTTTTCCTCTTTCATTCTCATGAATGTGTACGTGCCTCTGGACGCATACGTGAGCGCCGCGATGCAACAGCTGGCCGAACAAATAACTGAAATGGAACAACAGTACCCGGACTCTCTTTTAATTAATCTTGGAGATTTTAACAAAGCAAATCTCTCCCATGAACTACCAAAATACAGACAGCACGTTACGTCCCACCAGAGACAGTAATATATTGGATCACTGCTACACCACAATAAAGGATGCATATCACTCTGTCCCACGGGCAGCTTTGGGGCTCTCTGATCACTGTTTGGTTCATCTTATACCTTTGCGGACGACACTACAGTCATCGGCCTCATCCAGGACGGAGACGAGTCTGCTTACAGACAGGAGGTTGAGCAGCTGGCTGTCTGGTGCAGTCTTAACAACCTGGAGTTAAACACTCTCAAAACTGTGGAGATTATCGTGGACTTCAGGAGAAACCTCCCTGTGCTCCTCACTCACCATCATGAACAGCACTGTGACTGCAGTGGAGTCATTCAGGTTCCTGGGCAACACCATCTCTCAGGACCTGAAGTGGGACATTCACATTGACTCTATTGTGAAAAAGGCCCAGCAGAGGCTGTATTTCCTTCACCAGCTGAGGAAGTTCAACCTGCCACAGGAGCTGCTGAAACAGTTCTATTATGCCATCATTGAGTCTGTCCTGTGTTCATCTATAACTGTTTGGTTTGGTTCAGCCACCAAAACAGACATCAGAAGACTACAACGGACAGTCAGGGCTGCTGAGAGGATTATTGGTGCCCCTCTACCCAACCTCCAAGAACTTTACATCTCCAGAGTGAGGAAAAGGGCTAAGAAAATCACTCTGGACCCCTCACACCCAGCCGACTCTCTTTTTAAACTGTTACCCTCTGTCCAGGACATTCTTATCATTTAATAATGATAAACCGTGGTTTACTGGGAAACTCAATCAGCTTCGTCACGCCAAAGAGGATGCTTACAGAAGTGGGGATAAATCTTGTATAACTAGGCCAGGAACAGACTAATAAAGGAGATCAGAGTGGCTAAAAATAACTACTCTGAAAAGCTGAGAAAACAGTTTTCAGCCAACGATCCGGCGTCACTATGGGCTG